GGGGGGGGGGGGGGGGCATCGGTGACACACACAACGAGAAGGGAGAAAGGAATGAAACAGAGAGAGGGAAAAAGGATCGCAAAACAAACAGCTATCGGGTCGGGCTAAGCAGCGACCCTCCCTCCCACATGCATACCCATAAGGCACAATAGAAACGGGCGGCAAGGCGAGAAAGAGCATCACCATCCATCCATCCATCCAAGCAAAGGTCTGTCTGTCTGTCCTACCATACAGGCACCTACTCACCCACGGCTCCTGACCCTTGCTATCCGGCCACGCGCCGAGCTCATGACAGCAGGTCTCCCGGCAACTTCCCTGCGCACAGACACCCACATGCACACACACTCTCGTGTGGCTTCGGCATACTCAGACGAGGCAGGCAGGCAGGCAGGAAGGCACCTGCCTGACTGACTGGCTGGCTGGCTGACCTGGTTGTGAGATCTGCTCGAGGTGCTTGTCGCGGTCGTAGAAGCTATCCAGAATCTTCGGACTTATCTGCATTAAGAAACAGCACGAAGCGCACATGGGTTGTGGGGAGGGTGGGTGGGCAGGGTGGGTGGGTGGGTACGTTCATCGGCTGTTCTGTGTGTGGTTAGGTGCGCACCTTTCGCAGCATGTCACGGGGGAATGTGCGCAGCAGCTCCCAGGCGATGTCGAGCGACTGGAACACACTGCGGAACTCATACGGACCCTGCACACAGCACACACACACACACACACGCACACCAACACCACACACATGCTCCGCGTGGATGTGTCTGTGTGTGGCATATGCCCGTGAATGGGTGTGGTGTGTTCGTTGGTACCTGTGAGACGAACTTGCCCTCGAACTTCTCCAGAAACTCCAGATACAGCAGATCCTCAGACGTCAGCGCCTCCTCACCCACCACGGCCTGTAGACGTGGTGGGCAGCACACACACACACACGCCCCCACTTGTTTGTATGTGTGTGGTGTCTGTCGTGTGAAGGAAGGGGTGAGTGACCTTCATGGCCTTGACGTCTTTGCCGATGGCGTAGTTGGAGTACAGCTGGTTCGACACGGGCGGGTGGTCCTTGCGCGTGAAGCCCTGGGAATCGTGCGCAGACACCGCGCAGACACACACCATCGCTCTCTCACCCCTCCCTCGTGTGTGCCTGTGTGTGTGTGTGTGTGTGACATACACCGACGTACCTCTCCGATTCCTGACTTCATCAGTCGACTGAGGGAGGGCAGCACGTTCACCGGCGGGTAAATCTACGCCGACAAACAACACACACACACACACACACACACATACACGTGTCTGTGGTACGGTACACACACGTCAGAGGTGCATCATCCCCCGGCTAAGCTAAGCCGGCTGACCTGTCGGTTGTGGAGCGCACGGTCGACGAAAATCTGACCCTCAGTGATGTAGCTGAACAGACAGAGAAACAAACAAATCCAGAGGGCACGGGCGTACAGTCTGTCCCTGCCTCTCTCAGCCCC